CCCGGCTCTCTGGTTTCATTTCCTTTTTCCTGATCACGATTCAAATACAATAGAAGGAAATCACACTTAAAGAGACAGCTGCCCGTTTCTTAACTGCACTCCTGGGGATTCGGCAATACAAACAGCAGCATCACGACTCGCTGGGTTCCTTAAAGAGACAGAGCGGGGCTCCCCAGAGCCAGGGCTGGGGGCTGCCGAGGCGTTCTCACGTTATTATTATTATTCCCCTACTAACGCTGTCTCTGTGCGCAGGCAGGTGGGCGACCTGAGAATGATCCCGAGAGCTAGAAAAAAGCAAGCGCCTGGTTCCGGATTGTGCCGCCTTCCCAGCCGCACAGAGAGCGGCACTCACCATCCCTCTGCTCGCCCTCTCCCTCTCTGACACCAACATGCACATGCCCACACGCACCCATGGGTTTGTGCGGCGCTCGGGGAGCCACAGGTAAAGATCCCGAGCATTATTTGTCCGCCCGGAGTTCAAACCGGTCAGCTCAGTTGTGCCTCATTTATAGCCCCGAGTGAACATTCGCTTCCAGACACCCCCGGATTCCTGGCAAGCCGTGTCACAAATTTACACCCCGGCACGGCGTGATGCTAATGAGCTATAAAAGCCGGCGAGTACCAAGTATCGATCTGTAATTAATCCAAGAGATGCCAAAGACGGGGAAAGTCTTGCTTGAATATGTCTATTTTCCCTGCCTCCTCTCCATCAGCACAGCGGAGTGATTTACAACGCCGGAGCGAAAACTATTGCAGCAATCCGAGCCTTTGCCAGGCTCTGGGGCATTAGACGCTGGCCCTTGCTGGAGGCAGAGTTCTGGATGGGATGAACAGCTTGCCCTGTTAATTCCTTTAAAAACAGTGAAGAAATATCTGTAATAAAGTCCCAGAGAGTAGTAGTAGCAGCAATATTTTGCTTCTATATTAATTCCCAGAAGAGAAATGTATTTGATGTCTATTTTTATGACTACATTCTCCTTTTTTTCCAGCTTTTTGGCAGCTGGGGATATAATATCTGCAATACATTAATGAGCCCGATCCAAAGATTAGTAATGTCAGCAGAAGGACTGTTATTCCTTTCAAGGGGCTTTGAACCAAGCTTTTGAAATACTTTAGAGCTATCACTGGTCATTAGAACACATCTTTCTAATTCTTTAAACACATTATCTCCAATGTATTTTAAGCTATTACAGCGGGACAGTCACTCTCATTTCTGTTGAAGGAAAAGGCTCTTTTGTTAGGTTTTCACAGACAGGACTGAATTATATGATGACTATTTAATTTCTGGCATGTTTACCCTGTGATCAGCAAAGTAAAATAAATGTAAATCTAGCCAGAAGACTGAATAACTAAACTATTGCAAGACTCCATGGGGAAAAAAAATCTGCCAGGAACTTCACTTGGTTGAAAAAAAGAATCAGAAATTTAATTAAAGATGACTCAAAAACATTCAGAAGGACATCAAACATGTTTAAAAATACCCAAGACATTTCTATGAGCTTGCTTCCTCCATTGTCTCAAGGTTTTAAAAAAATATAAACTCTTAAAATATAGAAGACAAAATTTCCCTGATGATTGGGGTACTCATATTCTGATCAACTCCTGATGGAATAATGTGAACAATTCCATAATGCCAGTTCTGATCTCAGAAGTTGTGCACACATTGCAGACATGCTGGCCTGCTGCCCCTCTTCTATTTATTTTCCCAAAATTCACAGGAAATTAATATATTTAAGACCTCTGTGCCTTTGTGCATCTAAAAGAGTTCAAAAGTTTTGGTGAGGGACAAAAGTATCAACATTGGCACATAAGGAATTACTTAATTCCTTAGAAAAACAACATCAAAATGAGCACTTACAATACACAGTGGCCAGCAGTTATTGGGGAAAAGCAATTTTTGAGGTTTTGCAAGTCCTTGCTTTGCTCAGACCACCTCAGGTCTGTCAGGTAATGAGATATTTCTCATATTCATAGCTGAGCACAAGCACTGATGGACAGACCAGGAACATTCCCTGCACTGCCAGATCAGTCCCTTCACCTGCAGAAAAGCTTTTCTGCATAAAACCAGTGGAATAATGTGCAACATCGAAGCTGAAGAGGACAGTTTGTATGTGCTTCACTTTTTCAGTCAGATCAAGAACAAACTTTCCCAGATGAAGTCAGATCTTTAAGCACAGAACTCGTGA